GATATACAGTAAGAAATCCTTTACCCTCCAGTAACGAGGAACGATGCTTATTAATTTTATATCAGTTACCGTTACCTCTAGTAACGGACAACGATGGTAACGGTAACTGGTAACTGTCACAGCCCTATATCTATATCCTGCTGAAAAATGTTTCTGATTATTTCAGGCCGAAGTAAACCATGCCCTCAAGGAGACAATTGTTCAAATCCTGAATGCGATCTACTTCACTCAGACAGCTGGGAGTCAATGATCGTGGCGCCAACAACTAATCCTGTAGTTGCTTCAATGCAGAAAATAAAATCGCAAAGTGGATATGGAACCGTTAGAACTGGATTCAAAACTATTCAACAACGTTGGATAGACCGCAAGAATGCTCGCTTGCCAGTCTTAGAATGTCGTGAGCAGTTTCTCCAACGATTAGAAAAAGAAAAAGCGTTGGTCATAACAGCTGAAACAGGTAGCGGCAAATCAACTCAATTAGCGCAATATACAGCCGAGCATGATACATTTGGACAAGGTTTAACTGTTTGTACACAACCACGTGTCATGGCTGCCATTTCTATTGCTCGACGTGTTGCTGAAGAATATGATGGTGGTGATGTTGGTTATTCAGTTGGCTATTCAGTTGGCGGTGGTAATACAGTCAATGGTAATCGCATTATGTTTATGACAGATGCCACTCTTGTTCGCCAGTTGAAACACGATCCAAATTTAGACAAAATAAGTGTTCTTATTATTGACGAGGCACATGAACGATCACTTTATACAGATATTGTACTTGGAATTGCTAACATTTTGAGAAAAAAGAGACCAGATAATTTTTATGTTGTCATCACTTCGGCCACCATTGATCCCAAACCATTTTTAAACTTTTTCAATTGTCAAACAACACCATTACATGTGCCTGGACGTGTATACCCTGTGACACTTGACTATCAAAATCCACCTAGTGAAATTAAGTTCAACCCCAATAAACTCATATCAGAATTTATAATACCTACTGTTTTAAAAACATTGAAAAATTACAATGAAGGTCATTGTCTGGTCTTTTTGCCTGGACAAGCAGAAATCGAGCAGGCATTGAAACATTTTAGACCAAACGCACCAGATAATGTTACTCCTTTACCTTTGTTTGGTTCGTTATCACCAGAAGAACAAGAAAATGTGCTCAAGTTCGATGTTCAAGATGATGATATGCGTATGATTGTTTTTTGTACGAATGTGGCTGAAACATCATTAACAGTACCAGGCGTTAAACTTGTCATTGATTCGGGTCTAGCTAAAGAGGCACGCTATGAAACAAAACGACGTATGACTGTACTTGAGCTTGTACGCATTTCGCGCTCATCGGCTGATCAACGAAAGGGCCGTGTTGGACGTTTGTCTACAGGTCACTGTATACGTTTATTCGACGAAAAAGAATTAACAAGACAAAATATAGAACCCGAAATACTTCACTCATCTTTGGATGCTGTTATTTTACAACTGTCTCGCATCCGACTCGATCCATTAGCATTTCCGTTTATGGATAAGCCTTTGCCTGAATTACTTCAATCATCTGTGACATTATTGAAACAAATTCGCTGTATTGATAGTGTAACAAACGAAATTACAAAGCGAGGTGAATTATTTGCTAAATTACCATTTGATCCTCGTTTAAGTGAATTTGTATTACTGGCCTATGAAAAGTATAATCTATTAGATATACCTGCAACAATAGCAGCGATTCTTTCTGCACCTGGTTCCATCTTTTTTATGGGTGGAACAACAAAAGAGAAAAAAATAAAAGCAAAGCAAGATATAGTCAAAGGTGCTTTAGGATATGACAGTGATTTATTGTATAGTTATGAAGTATTTCAAAAATGGATTGATTTTGGTAAAGTTGACGAGAATGACGGATGTACTACATGTAACGAAAAACTGAGTAAAAGTCAAAAAAAAACGGGATGTCGCCGTTGTCGAGTTCAGCATACAATTAAGGATGGTCTTAACAATAAAGTGTATGAAATTGTGCAGAAAACCCGTGATAATTTTATAAGTACCATTATGGAGCCAAAATGGAATGTACGTCATATACAATTGTCAATATCAGGTAATACTAACACTACAACGATGACGAGAACAGCACTAATACATACACAAGGTGCCGGAAAACCCAACAATATTGTAGAATATCTTGGTGAATGTTTGAAATTAGTTTTTGCAGATCAGTTATGTACAGTATTAATTCCACATATGCCAAGTGAGGGTGTTCGGATCGTATCTGCCAATGTGCGGGCTAAAATTAATGATATATCAACTATTCTGCAAAAAAATCGAGATTCGCCATTTCATCAAATTATAGCCATGTCCATAACACAATTACCATCTGGTCTTTATGTGGTTGATCGCATCCATCCTTTAGTAGATATAATGTCAGTTAACGATCAGACGATGACAATGGTGGAAGCTGTTTCAATAGAAAATACTGGTTCGCTAATAGCGAGTGAAGTACGAAAAAAGGTATTATTCAACATCAAAGAAACTTGGGCTACATGGTCTGTTTGTATTCATGATACAAAACAAGCTCGTCTTCAAGTATTTTGTCCATTAAAATTCCAACAAAGTGCACAAAAAGAACTTAAAATAATTACGCAAGATTTAGTCAAAACATACTCTGAGTATGAAGTAGAAGAAATGTTGCCAAATGGTACTGGTGTGGTCAAAGTACAGAGCGGCCTTGCTATTGCTAACATTGAATTAACTGGAAAAAGTTGTCGTGTAAAAATGAAAAATTTACCTTGTGAGAACCGTGACGATTGCATCGATTGGATTAGAGTGAACTATAAAGTGGATCTCAAAGATCGAAATTTGGTAAAATGGCTTAATTTTCAACCTAGCTGTTTAAAGAACGTTGATGATGTGGATGATGGTGAAGGCGAATCAGGTAAGTAGATATGTTAGCCGACTTAAATGTATTTCTCAAATTTTTAACCGCCTTTGGAGGCGGTGCGAAATAACATGTTGTTTAGTCCATAGCACATACGTTCATCTCAGATTTGCAACAACCGAAATGAAGTCTATGTATTTTCGCGGAAAATCAACAAAAAAGTAGATTCTAGCAAGTCAATGGTAATACTCCATGACCATAAAGTCGGAAGCAGTTGTCATAGATATTGACACGAAAATAGTATTTTGCATTTTTCTCGAGATGAGTTTTTGGTGCCTCCCCATTTGTTGTTCTGTTCAGTTCTGTTCAGGAAGGTTGATAATACTGTATTCATCTTGTTTCTCTTCCTAATTATTTTAGTTAAAATTTGTTACGTTTCGTTGTAGTTTTACAACTTCTAAAATAATTAGAAAGAGAAACAAAACGAATACAGCATTTGTTGTTTGATAAATGAAAGTTTAGGTTAATGCGGCTGCTGCCTTCACTTTTAAACGATTGATCTGTATGTACGGCGCCGGAAATTCAAAATTGAGCACGATATTTCTTTCTTTTGTTATAATTGGATTGAGTTCATCGAGCAGCGTAGGAAAACGACAATTTTGGATTTTTAAAAGTGGCTGAAAGATGAAATGGAAAATCTGAGATGAACAATTAAAAAATATTGGCATCTTGAAAAAAGACCCGCTTGTAAAATTTTTAAAAATCATCAAAATACTTTTTTTAAAACTTCAAAACTATTTCTTTTCTAAATCTTCATGCGGAATTAAATATAAGAAGGTATATTTGATACTTTTAGAAAAAAAACGTTTTCGAACTTGGCGAACTGGAGCAGAACTGTAAAAGTGCTTCTATAGGTCTTCAAAACATATCTAGCCCAAGGGATTAATTTATTTTATGTCATTCTGATCATTAAACTGGGAGGAAAAGATTGACGTAGAGTAGTATGGGGCAATTGCAGACAGTTTTGCGATCTTTTCTCTTGTAATCAACATAACTTTGTGATTTTTATTAATTTTTAGTTGCTTTTTTGCAGGTAGGTACATGGAAATTTCCTGTACAA